TATTATAGAAAAGTTCTATGCGCTATTTAGAATAAAGAAGAAGAAATAATGAGTGAGTTAAGAAATCATCTGATTAAATACGAGAAGTTGTCGAGTAATCATTCTACAACTATCTAGTGTCATATTAAAACAGTATTTTAATTTCTAATGAAGGACCTCCGAAAAATTGGCAAAGTTATAGCGACTCCATCAGACGTCAAAATTTTGACTTTGAAATAAGATGTCTCATTTGAAAGTCCATGAGTAGTTATGGTAAAATCCTAGTTTTTAGCACTTTCCGCAATCTCTATCAAGAGTTATAAATACACCTTTGAACACATTCTTAGATACCATTTGATAAATTTAGGTAAAGTATAGAACATACTGTTCAGCACTTCATAACAACATATTTTACTCTCGAAAATTACTTTTTTTAGTTTCAAATAATTCATTTTGATTAGATCTGCTAGATACAATCTCATATAACAAGAATTTCAAATATGAATGGCGACCTAACATGAGTTTTTTCGCTTGACAAAAGTGAAAAATGACCATCTTTTACATGAAAATTTCTAGATTTGTCGTCTATAAGTATATCAAGATGGTCTCCTTTCAAAAAGAATTTCCCATCATAGGATAGTGCGTGAAAAACCATATCTTTCCATAAAGCAATTAAACGATAATCTCACTACCTATGATCTTTCGTATTCGTTTTTCATTTTACAATATCAATATTTTATAAAAATATTTTTTCTCTTTAAATATTTATCAAATATACATCCATCTATATTGATTTCTTCTTCTTTATTCTAAATAGCGCCTAGAACTTTTATATAATAAATAATATAACAAGAATTCTCTAAAATAAACTTTAGTATTAGGACTCTAAGAATATATTTGAAAAAAGTACACATAAATCTGATAGGTATTAGCATCATATCAATGCTAATTCAATTCTAATACAAAAGTCTTAAAATTAGCATTACTTAATGCAATGCTCATGCTAAGCCAGCACCCCTAACATATACTGATGCTTGTTTTGCTTGCTGTTATTCTCACCATTCTATTAATCATGTGTGTTCGCATTGTTATTCATTATTATCAAGCACATCAACTCACTTATTATTATTATTATCTTCTTCTTCCTTCTCCTTATGTTCGATATCCACTGCTGATGTTCGTCGACAACAGACAACAACAACAACAATAACAGTTGAAGTAGGATCCAACAGTTCTAGTTATTGTGCTGCTCAATTCACTCCAATTGATACTACTCGTTGCTAAAGCTTACGTTAGTTTTTACTTTACTTTGCTTTTTTGTATACACTAATATATATATACATATATAAACTGCATGAGAAGCAAAAAAAAATAGAATGTTGTTTATATTAATATATTTATTTTATCAGTCGTCGATCAGTGATGCTGAAATCGATCATAGAACTTCAGCATCAACATTATTACATCAGCAATCCAATACAAGAAATGTTTACAATCGACATTCAAACGAGTATTTGACAGTGTTTGTATAAAGATACTAACGAAGTTTAAATTAAAGTTATAATCCATTAGTTTTTATTTTATTTTCTATGGTAATCGAATTATATTCAATTTTGTTTTTTTTCTCTTCGTTCGATAATATTATTTGATTATTGATAGTTTAGGAGAAAAATATAAATAATGTTTAAAACAAATATTTCTAAAATATGATAAATACAATGCCGATGAACGTATAATGAGTCTGTATAATTAAGTTTCTATTGCGAAGATTTTTTCAAAGTTTGATCAAACTGTCAGAAATTGTCAAGTATAATAGATCGACCAGAAAGTAATTATTCTGTCATTGAATATTGTTTTGAATCAAAATTCAATTTTGATCGTCTATCATTGTTTCTAATTATAATGATGAGTATCAGTAAAAACTCAATAGTTTTCTCTATTTTTCCTTTTTGTCTGTGCGATATTGTTGACAGTTCTGTTTTTCTCATTTTGTACTTCATCTTTTCTTCTATTGTACAATAATGCAAAGTACACACCGATTATAATCACATATATAACTAATTCGAAAAGAGAAGTGGATATTTGTAAACGATTATCAAGCTCACGTCAAATAAAAAAGGTCTTTATTCTAATTGTTATAAGTATAGTTGAGATTCGGATTAAAGGTCCATGAAATCGTGGACTCTACAAAAGCGTCTCATCCAACAAAGCCACCGCTTCTCAAATAAAATACAACAAGTATTCTATTGTAAAATTCATTGAAGTAGTAGTAGAAGCGGGTGTGGGCTAGGGGTGGACCATTTTATTTAACGGGACTTAATTAACGGGTGTTAACTAACGGAACCCGTTAACCGTTAATATTAACGTTAACGGATTCCGTTAACCGTTAATATTAAAATTAACGGGTTTCAGTTAACCGTTAATTTACAGTTAATTAACGGATTAACGGGTGGATAATAATTATATATTGTTTAATGGTGAATTTTCTCATGAGCAAATCGACGTTCATGTAATAACTGTTATAACAGTGAACCTTGAGAGGGCTAGGGCCTCATTTTTTCAAGAAAAAAAATGTTGACAATGGTTTTTGAAATATAGTCTATTCAACTCAGTTTTTTGCGCTGATTCCAAATATATCATTAGTTTTAAACATTTACCTGATACATCACATCGAAATCAATAAAATACTTATCAAAAAGATAGGAAAATTACTATTTAAAAGATGAGAATTTAAGTAATATTGAGAAGTTTTTTGAACAATGCGATTTTGCATGATATCTAACGATACTATTATTTGTTAAAGCTGCAGTAGACGTTGTATCTTAGCTTTTCAATACTGTTATATATGATCTAAGAAAATATATAAGGCGACGCTAGGTAAAAATTTAGATAATTATAAATATACGATTGAAAATGATAAAAAACATAATAAGTGAGCTGTTTAATTTGTCGAAAAGATTAAGTAATTGTGACTTTTAAAAAATGGCAGATATTATATTATATAGACTGGAATTATTCTACGAAATAATAAATTAAAACAAATCTTCTTCCAAAAGTACACCCCATTATTTTCTTTTGTGCCAAAATCTAAAACACATATATTCTTATATGTGTCACGTGGTTCTACAAATATAATAATCAGAATTGGCAGTCGAGAATGTATCTTAATAAAAACTACAGAGACATAAAATATCAGAGATGACATCAAAATGCAGTAAATAACATTCATATTGAATTGAAAAAAAGTGAATATGTTAGTTCAAACGTTTTTGAGTGACACTGTCGCATTCAAATAAACATACTGTATCTAAGCTACAATCGAGATTAATTGGAACATTATCTTGGTGATTACTGGATCTTGGAGCAAATGCGTCAACAAATGTATTTAATTAACATTCATATTAAGAACAGTGGTTTAGATATTTTTGATTCTCTTAGCTATTCATGAGTAATATAGAACAATGACGTATGATCAAAAAATTGCGTTATTCAAGTCACCATACATTTGTATTATTAAATTTGCAAATGTTAGTATAAGCATATACGGAAACTTTATTTTTAGCTGCATTACTTCGTACAGTAGCTATCGGTACACGAATTGACTATATTTTCAACATTGATAAAAAATACGAGAGAATAAATATTTGTCAAGAAATAAACATGATATTCATAGAGTAGAATATAAATTATCAATAAGTTCAATGTAATTGATCTGTGGCATTACAAATGTCGTAAATGTGCTTATTAACAGTTTTAATAGGAGTAATACATGTTTGTGATAATTATTAACTTACGCTTTGGTACTGTTATTGCCCTATAGTTATGTGAACTTGATGATTTCATTCATGGTTTTAATCTTACAAGGGGGATTTTCTTTTATCAATATAAAGAAAATATGGTGCTCATTAATATTTCATATTAGAAACTAATCAGATTGATACAGTAATGTTTTTTTTTACATTATTATATGAGATATATTTTACACCGTTTTTCTAGATTAAAATACAAAAATGAGTATAATTACTGATAAAATCAAAGTACCTTTAAAGAGAAGTTATAGCAATTCTACAACAGCTGAGAAGGTTGTTTGAATTGGTTTTTAAGAATACATCGACTTCAATATATGGACATATATAGATATTAGTCACGAAATAAATGTTTACATTGAGAACATTCATGTGATATTAAGGCAAAAGACAGTAGTTTATATGAAACATTATTCTTTGGTTTGAAACGCTCGTAGAAATCATTAAAGATATTCTTCTTATATGAATTTCACCCATAGAAAAAATTTAAAATCTCATAAAACTAGTCTTTTACTCATTAAGAAGTAGTTTTTTTTATTGAATTACTCGATATTGTCAAATTCAAGAATTTAAACTCTATTAAAGTCAGAAAAATAATTTCAAAATCTCAATTATCTAGCATATAACTCAATTCTACAAGTGTCCTCTTTATGAAATATTAAGTATTTTTCCTTAATACTTAGACTTAATTCTGGTCAATGAAGAGAAAAACTGTTTTTTAAATTCAACGACAATTGATACAAGTTTCAAGTCACATATATCACTAGATGAGGTTGAGAATGGAACAAAAATAAAAAAAATACGTTTATTTTTTACTTACGTGCATGAGGTTCTTTTGATGCTGTTCCATTTTTTCGCCGAAGTACAAATTCAATTTTTCCAATAGACATTGTTTTATGAACTTGAGCTCAGGTGATTGATTTGGGTCTGGTTTTGTAAGAAAAAAACGTAAAGCATATGGAACTATAATAAAAAGAAATATTGCTGGAAATTTTTCAAAAATTGAGAGTTTTTCTGTTGTCAACTATAGTTGCACTCGAAAAAAAATTTTCTTAAGATTTGTTTTTTTTATAGATATACAGTTTTCAATTAAGTTCCTAATATTAGCAAAGAAACGAGTAATTTATGACAGTCATTATTTACTTAAGTGTCTATGTTTTTATGCAATTAATTCTTTCAAATCCGACACTTTCTCGTTAATACACAAAGATGTAGCTAACCTGAATAAGCAGCTGCTGATGTTGGATATTTTTTTCCTGAAGTAACAGTTGTCGCACTGAAAAATGGACACAGTACAGAACAAAGATTTTTTATGTTACTCCAATCGCCATTGGTAAATTCAAACTTCTTTGAACCAAGTTTTGTTTGTTGATTATGACTAATGTCTGGAATTTTGAATGGTCTTCTGTTGATATCATCGATGATTGATTGATGACCTATAAATCGATGTAACATTGTAAAGGTTGTGTTCCATCGAATTTCTATATCAGTTACAAGTGCAGATGTTATTTGTGGATCATGAAGTTTTTCTTGCCGTTGAACATAATCAATAATAGCACGTGTAGAATTAATGTTGCTGATGCAATCACGTATTCGATCAACCAGTCGTCGAGTTTGTGCACGAATATTTTGTAAATCTATTAATTGATCATCATTATCATTTTGTTCTTCATTATCAGTGTTGTTATCTGATTCACCATTGTCTTCATCTTCATTAACATAATTACCGGTATCATACGATCCATCATCACTGCCAGATAAATAACCATTTGTTTGTGCATCTTCATTATACTCTTCATCTTCTAATTCATCAGGTATGTCAACATAATCAGAATCTGATGATAATTCATCGTCTTCGCGATTACGATTAACTACTTCACTTGTTGTATGTAGTTGTTGAGTACTGAAATAAAAATAAAAATAATTTTTAATTGTATATTAATAACGTACTACTAGGAAAGACTTCTGACTGAATTGATCGACTAATAATCTTATTAACTGTATTAGTTGTCTTCTCTAAAATGTCTAACCAATGTATTTTTCAAATCGATTCGATTTAGACAGTCGAATCATCGAATAATCAAATTAATATGAAAAATAAATCAATCTGCGACACATGTAGTGTTACGCTTTATATAACACGAACTAATATGATATATGTATATGATCTAGTCTGAGATTAGCTTTTCACTTCAAGTCTTGGAAATTGATTGTGTATTTTTCGTAGATATATCACAAATATATTAGAACCAAATATCAGTTAGAGTAAATTGAACTGATCGTGAGAAACATTCAATGTTAAATTAGTTGTAATTTTAACTGTAGATGATTCCAGATAACAAAGATGAATTTAGACAAAAACTGCTATTGCATACTTCGAAAGAATATTTTAATGCTGAATAGGCAGTCAAACGTTTGGAACAAAATGAAAGTTGACTAGCGCGATTATTTATCTATCTATTAGTCACTAGTAACTACAAAGCTTCTACTACTATTACGCTATATTGTTTCTTGATCACTATCGGTGGTGCTATCTGAGTTGAAAATTTTGAATGAAAAATTTTGATACAACCTTTTTGTTAGAATCAATGGATAATAATACATCTTTTCAATATTAGAAAATATTTTTTTCATAGATTTATATATTAAGGTCAACGTATATTTTGATGTCACATCAAACAAAATGCTGTAATTTAATCCTAGTTTATACATCAAAGTCATTTGAAAAATATATCTGAACTATTTAAATTACTGAAATATTTATTATATGAGAACTGAAATAATTGAAAAAGTTATGTATAATTTTACCTTTTTTTTTTCTTTGGTTTGTCCCATAATCCTAAACCAACTTTCACTACTAAATTAAGTAGATGAGCTGTACAAGAAAATCGTTTACCGGGAATTAATTCATTTAAAGCTTTCTTGACATCACTGCCGTTGTCACCAACAATTGCACAAACTTTATCTTCTATATTTAAACGTTGAAATTCATAACGAATGTATTTTTTAATGTTTTCCGATGTGTGTGACTTCTTAAATTGCCTAAAAGCTAAGACAAGTGGAATAGTTTCATACTTGTAATTAAATGCATGGCCAGTTAAACAAATAAATGATTTCTTTTTTTTTCGTCCATATGTCTACCGTGACTGCAAGCCAAGGAATTGT